GGGTGGCGGTGTTCCCCAATAAGTGATCACAAGCAAAAATCGCCAGCGGCAAGAATGTACTACACGGTTCAAGCAAACCTATCTTACTGGACAAAGCCGATCAGTTATTTTTCGATGTTATCAAGTAAATCAAAATGAGTCTCTACTTAAGGACATTCAAAAGTGCTCCCAACTCATCGAATTTTTATAAGAGAATGTACATTTTTCTTTAAATGCCCACATTGGGCTTCGATTAGGTACACTGAAACACCGGAACACAAATCAGAAGACGCTTACCTTCGTGCGGTTAATAGGAAATAACGGATTTTTACACTTCACATTCCATACTTTCGCCGCCAGATGGGGTGGCGGTGTTTCCCACAGTGGCGGTGTTACCCCCGCTTCCCCTACTGCTAAGCTCTATCTCCAACAGGAACGAAATGGCGCGGGGGGGTGGCAGCCATCCCCCCATGTGCGTTCTAGGATGGGAAAATGGCATGTGCGGGCGAGGGTTAAGTATGGAATTTCAGTAACCTACCTTGGTTAATATCACCAATGGGGTCTGGCAGGTGGGGGTAATGGCGCTGCCTAGCGCCAAAAAAGGGGGCACGACCCCGGAGGACCTGCCGACCACTGGTTTAGAGCTCCCACCATCTCAAACTGCTTGCAAGCTGCATCACCACAACATTCCGCCATCCGATTTGCATTACTAATCAGTCGCCTCCGCGACGTCCCGCCGTCCAGCGCGACACCCGGTCGGACTCAGTGAGCTCCTGTGGCGACACTCCGTCCCCTGTCAGACTCAGGGAGCCTCTGAGGTCATCTCTCCGTCTGACCGGCCGCTCGTGGCGACTGCTGGCTACACCTGGACGCCGGAACCGCGGGCCACGCGAGCGGAAACTCCGGGAGTGGGCCCGCGGACCTCTGGGTCACGGGGCCGCTCAGAGAGGCGCAATTTCCGCGCGGGTAGACTCGCCTTTCCGGGGGGCGGCAGTCCGTGGGAGGACTGAACGGGGAGCAGGCCGTGTCGGCACTTCAGGGGGCGTGGCTGCACTAGATTGGCGTGTGCCTGAAGTAGACCGTCTGCAGTCTGGCATATCTAGCGTGTGCTCGGCATCCGGAAAATGTTGTCCCTCGGATATTCTCCGTCGGAAAATTATTTGCATGACTAGACACGATCGGTATGTCCATGTTTAGGGAGAATCGTTCGCTGGAGAATTATTCCCAAAATAGACGTTCGGTATCTCGAGGTGTCGGCTGGATATCAGCTGACGACAAAGGAATAATTTCCCCACGACTCTGCTCTGCGGATTCTCTCCGGCGAGGGAAAGTTATCGGCGAGAATTTTCCGTTCTCGCAATACCAAACGTGATTCCGAATAATTATCGTTGATTCCGGAAAATTATCCCTCACTTTTCGGACGCCACACAAACGCCTAGAAAGGACTAGACTCACGCACGAGGAGCGAGACCCGCAGACCAAGTAACATTGGTCTGCTGACCGGACAGTGGTGACTCGACAGTCCACACGCCACCACGGACAGCATGAGTCGGCAGAGGGAGGCCGTCCCGACTGGATCGGGTATATCTGCGAGCTGATTGGTACAGGAGCCCACTGCTGGGCTGGGTACCGAATGTATCGGTCACCGTTCGTGCTGACAGGGACCGCTGGTCGCTGACATCTGACCTCTGACACATTCCCGCCGAGCGCTGACCGCTGACTGCCGGTCGTTGACCAGTGACCAGTGGTCGCTGACAGCTCACCACTGACTACTGAGAGCACTGGTCACCGGCCGTCACTCAAGGTCGTCGGGGACCGATTCTACGCGTGGGTATTGAGCGGGACCGATTTGAGACCTCCTGACCGATTCTCCTGCCGGTCAACGGGTGATATGTGTGTTTTCGGTTAAATGCTGATATCCAACGCAAGCAGTGACGTGTTGTATTGCGAACGACGGAATGTCCAACTCACAACAGTGAATGTTATTGGTGGCACTGAACGCCTATGAATGGCGCCGATGAAGCGTGCAGGAATTCCGGTATATATAATTGTGAGGATGCGCGACTAGTCTGCGTGACAAGGACCGGTTCAACCACTTTATTTTCGCTATCCTGCTTTTGCGATAATGCGCAATTCAGTTTGATGTGCGTCAGCGTGCCCAGGCAGGCAACATGCACTCTTGCGATCATTTGTGATTATTCAGGACATGATTTCAAGCCTAAAATCGGCCAATAAACAATGACTTATTTGAGCGAAATAGCAGTAAATTGGTGCATTGGCCCATTTTCCAGCTCATTTTGATTGTTTCCATTGGACAAACAGATTACAAACCTAAATCCGGATGCCTAAGGAAAACATTATACAATATCAACTCACTAACAAATGCAAATCGATAACTAACGCTTCCGGTGCACGTCGTATAACTTTTTTTCTTGAGAACGTAGCTTTCAAAGTAGCAATGAGCCGTGATAAGTTGACATTAAGCACCTCACCGGTCAGTCCATGCAAGTGTTTGCCGCCTGTTTTCCCGGCGTTGACGTCGAATCCTGCTCCGTAGTAGGTAATAGGTATGCATCTGCAGGACAGGGTCGCGGGACGTTTCAGCAGACCTGTCTCCACATGCCACAATCGCTGAGTGAACACTGATTCAGAGACTGAAGCGGGGAACCCCTCATGACCAAGGTTAAGGGCAATGTCAACAAGATACATATCAATAACAGAAGGAGTGAGAAGTTGATTCAACTGCATACATTTGGCATAAGCAAAAACTAATCATATGCACGACAGACTCAAATGTGCACCGTGCAGCACAACCTATGCTGTACCTACGTAGCCATCGAGCCGTGCGGCGACAGATGATGCCGAGCTTAACACCGTCATGGCGGAACGGGAGCGGGCGCTGACGATCTCCATCAGGGACTATAGGGGCGCAGGCCGCAGACGAGGGAGGGGGGCCATGCCAATGCCATCCTCTCCTTATTGGCACGTGCGGCCTCGATCACCACGGGTTCTTCACAATCACATGGCTAGCCAAAGACCGCCATCCACTACCTATTAGCTATTTCTATTATTTGAAGAGCTGAGGTCTGTTTGTGAAATAATAAGCTATTTATATTAATTGTGTAAATGGCACGATGCCGTTGCGGTGGACTGTGGAGGCATCTCCATTTGTATATCCAGCACCAGTTATCAGGCACTGAAGATCATCACATTCGTGTTGTGAAATCCACCTGGCCGTTAGTAGCGATATTTCACTCACCCCAAATAAACAAGCCGGGATGTTTGCCCAGGCGGCCATTCGGGGCGATACAAATGGGTAGCCGCTCCGCGCGCGTAACTGTACACCTCGCATGGTGTTTTTCTACGCCAGGCCACGCACCGCCAGCGCCAGCGATGCGACAATTGTCCACGTTTTTCGCTCTGCTGTGCGGCGGACAAAAAGTCCCATCCACCCGCACCGCGCGAGACCTTGAAATGGCGCGGGAGACATTAGCCAAGCCGATTAGTCTGTGGCTGGCGGGGGTCTGGCGAGCCTGGACAGCCGGGCCGGGCCGGGCCGATCAGCGGGCCGGGTCTGTCCGGGCCGGGCCGGGACGACTGGTCTGTCTGGGCCAGTCAGCAGAGTCGGGTCTATCCGTGTCTGTCCAGGACGGTCAGCAGGGCCGGCCGGGTCTGTCCGGGCCTGTCCAGGACGGTCAGCGAGGCCGGGTCTGTCCGGGTCGGGATGAAACGGCGGGTCTGTCCGGTCTGTCCGGGCCAGCCAGTCAGCAGAGTCGGGTCTGTCCGGGTCGGGATGGGACGGTGGGTCTGTCCCGGTCTGTCCGGGCCGGGATGGGACAGAGGGATTGTCCGGGGCGGGCTGCAGGACGGTCAGAGACCCCAGGTCTTTCCGGTCTGTCCAGGAAGGTCAGCAGGGCCGGGTCTGTCCGGGTCTGTCCGGGTCTGTCAGGACCGGGCCGGTACGGTCGGAGCTGCCGGAAGCCGTCACGGCGACAAGGTCTGCCCCACATGGCTCCCACTCGAACGGTACAGCTCCTCCCAAACGAGGCCCGGGCCACCCCAGCCCCAGCGGGCTGGCAATATTCGGCTGCCGGGCCTCTGCGCGGCCGAGCTGCAGAGTCGCTGCGCTGCTGACCTTCAGAGCAGCACCTGTCCGCTGACCGGGTGGTCGCTGCGCTGCGCTGCGCCGCGGTGATTTCAGCACCGGACAGAGGATGGACAGACCACGAGCACGGCCGGCTCACAGCGAGCTGCTGCGTGCCGCGTGCGTATTGAAAATGGAAGGTCGCCTATAATAGGCTGTAAGGTCGTCAGGTGTCATTGAACAGTGTCATCCGACACATTAGGTTCCGTGCGCGGAAGTTGATCGATAAAAACCGACTTATGGAGGACATAGTGCCGAGACCGCCATAAAAGATCAGCCGTTACACTTGTAGCTATGTGCTATTGTTTAGCTGTGACAGTCATTCTATCATCAGAGACAGAGACATTATATAATGGTATGAAATTTTGTTCGAAATAACGATAATGATGTCGCAAACTTGTAACGATGTCGCGGATATTTCGAGCAAAATTCAAAACGAATCAATATCTTTTCTACATTTTCAGGCCATGAGAAAATTTTCGTCTATTCTGTGCCTGTGTATTGTGTGTGGTGTTTCAGTGCATTTTTCTTTAGACAGGCTAAACAAGAAAAACGAACATTATAAAAAGATTACAATAAACGAAGCTGGTGTTTCAAACATTTAAGATGAATAACAGCCGTAACATTACATGAATCATGCGCGGCGCACAAATACAGAAACGTGACCTTTCTAAACGGATAATTGTTTTCCCTAGGACAAGTGTGGCAGGTTTGGACACGTCGATGCAGTGTATGGGGACGCTGTATGCTCACGCAGAGCTGACCGCCCCCGGCTGGGGAGAGAGCCCCGGCAGGCGCCCCGTCGGAGGTGTTTGTCCCTGACCTACGGCACAGCCGAGCGGGTGGATTAGGTGGCCGGAGCCGGCGTCTCACTCACCTTTGGCCGTGGACTTGGCCGTGAGCGGTGGCTTCTTCGCCGACGACATGGCGCTGCGGCGCGATCGTATCAGGGCGCCGGCGGCGAGCGGTGCAGCACTGCCGGGGGGAGCGGCGGGCCGGCGGGCGGGCGGTCCTGCTGCGTTTGGGCGCCGGTGGCCGTGCGGCCGGCACGCGCTATGGTAGCTGTCGAACTGCGGCTCAGCCCGGCCGGCCGGCCGGCGCGCCGTCCTCCAGGCAGGAGCCGGCCGTGGCCGTGGTGGGCCGGCGGTCGGGCAGGGAAGGGGGGGGGGGGACAGCCGGCCCGTCGGACGGGTCCGCCGCGGCGCGCCGAATGACCTGCGGTGACCCTGCGCTCCGCAGATGGCCGGCTGCGATTACCGTCACGATGGGAAGCACCGCCCACAGCGGCGGAATCCGACGCGGCGTGTCCGCCATCGACGTAGTATTCAAATGACCGTAGAATATAGTCCTTTCACGACGGAACATTATGACTATGTAGATTGTAGATACGAGTCTTTGGCGCGTCTCTAGCTCAGGTATTCCGATATAAATTCAAAGTGCAGTGATCTTCTTAGCCCGCGCCCCCGGGTGTTTGGATACCCACTGTGGTTTTTCGCAGATATCTCAAAAACGGCGGCGCTCCGTGCCGCCATTTTTTTTAAAACCTGTTCACGCATCTTCTCCGCACATGTATAAATTTCAGACCTAGGACCTAGGTCGCCCAAGGTCAGATTACCAGGCGACGTCAAATGCCCTTAGGTACAGTCACCAGCACTTGCTACTAATCACCTCGTTTTTGCTCAGTAGTTTGAAGACCGATCATTTCTCAGTCGAGCAAGATACGTCAAACGATCGGTTTGGTCCTCCGATTTTCGAATATCTAACTTGTTTTTGTATGTTCGAAGCATTTTGGGATGAGGAGCCAAAAAACGTCTTTTCTGCCCTATAGTTGCCCCAAGAAGTCGTAGAACCTAGCCCCGCCTCTGATCCACAGACCACTAGTGCCATCTCTTGTCAGCCGAACAAACCGCAGAAGTAAATAATGTCACATGACCTTTGCACACGCTACAATTACTACGCAGCTGTAGTGGGGGAAGCGGGGCGGAGGCGTGGAGAGGGACGCGATCGGTCGGTTGGGGTCAGGTCGCCGAAGTCAGAGGTCATCCGCCGGAGGGTGTTTGGGCGGTTGAGCCGTGTGGGCTGGGGCCTGCGGAGTGCGGAGCGGCTGGACCTGTCTGGAAACAAGTTCTACAACGCTGTGGCAGTCGAGAATATTGTGGAGGGGGGAGGGAGGGAGGGAGGGAGGGAGAGAGAGAGAGAGAGAGAGAGAGAGAGAGAGAGAGAGAGAGAGAGAGAGAGGGAGAGAGAGAGAGAGAGAGAGAGAGAGAGGAGAGAGAGAGAGAGAGAGAGAGAGAGAGAGAGAGAGAGAGAGAGAGAGAGAGAGAGAGAGAGAGAGAGAGAGAGAGAGAGAGAGAGAGAGAGAGAGAGAGAGAGAGAGAGAGAGAGAGAGAGAGAGAGAGAGGAAAGACTGGAGGGAAGGGATAAGGACGGGAGGAGAGAAAAGTGATACAGAAAAGGAAAACCAGGGAGGGTAAAATGAGAAAGAGGGTAATGGGTAAATCAGTGAGAGGGAGCGAGAGAGAAAATATTTAGTTGTGTCAGCTTGTTTCGTGTGTAAAATTTAAATTTGCTTTCCATCATTTCAGCCCCGGATTGAAAATTAAAACTTAGCACCCTTATGATAAACCCACGCTGACGGGATGGGGACGTTTTTATGGTCGTCGTTGGGAGCTCGGCACTAATAGGGATGCTGTTGAGGGTTTCGCAAATATTTCATAAAAGAGATGCTATTTTTTGCACAACCTATTAAACATTTGTTTTACGTTTGCTATGAAAATGTTAGGCCCAGTTCCTTCAAGATCAGGTCCACGACTGCACAGCTTACAACAGGAGCTAGCTAACATAACAATTAACCCGCGCCGTGTTGATGGCATGAACTTTCCGTCGAGTGCTGAGGGGGGGGGGGGGCGTTTCACGCCCCTCCGTCTAACTCGGCTCCTGGGTCACGTAGCGACCCGCGGTATCGAAAGAGCGTCAAAAATAAGGAGGAAAACACTCGGTCATTTTAAGGGCAGGGCAAAGGTCAGATAACCAGAGTTCATCATAGGTCAAATTTTGTCGATTTCAACGATTTTAAACACCCGACGGCTAACTCTGGAACCAATAGAGCTATAGCGCCGTGGAAAAGCGCATTCGATAGCTCTTTTAAAGTGACCATCCCACCTTAACATTAGTTTTGAGTTGAGATAGCCAAATTGGTGGCCATGGCCTGCAAATACCGGTTTGGGCACTCACAACATCGAAAAGTTCTTTAACCCGCGACCTGGTGGGGGGGGGGCTATTTTTTGCCCCCCCCTCCAGACTTTTCGATATATCTCCAGAACCGCTGCGCCGATCGTCACCAAACTTTCAGTACCCTCCCGGACATCAATTTTACACATTGTGACCAAAAATTTTTCCAAAGGCTATGATAGGTTGGCCAGAAATGACGTCAGAGTGACGTCATGTTCTGCCGTTTTCGACCCAAAAAAGGGTTTTGCGGGAAGAGCTGTCAGGCCTATAGCTTTGCAAATACAGAAAAATGATATAGACATAAAAGCTGTAGAATTGACAGGGCTACAAAAGTGCAATCTCGGATTTTTGAAATTTTTTGGTTTTGACCCCCAAAAATCAAAAAATAATTTTTTTGGATATAATAATCGAAAAATCCAAAAAGTTTTTTGAATTTCGCAAAAACCGGAATACATGTGATAGTCCTTACCGCCTTCCATCCACATACCAAATTTGAGATCGATACCTCTTTTTTTGGCGAAGTTATAGCGAAAAAACTGTTCAAAATAAATGACGTCAAATTTTCAAACTCAATTTTTAGCAATTCTAGACCCCGTAGCGCAAAACAAAGACCACCATTAGACTCCCCGTGACGAGCTGCATCGAATCAATACCCATTTTATGCAAAACTATCAATTTCAAAATTTGACCTTTTTTGGCCTGACCTTGACCTGACCTTGACCTGAACTTCACCAGAAAGTGACCTAAGCCGTACCTGATAGTCTTATAACCAACACCATTGAGTTGGAAATGAAAAATTGGCCATAAAACATGCATCACACAACCTTAGTAAAGTTGGGCTCATGTGACCTGACCTGTGACCCTTGGTGACCTGACCTGTGACCTGACCTGGTATTGTCAGTGACCTCTAATAGCAACATATCTACTAGGCAACTGACGCCCTATCGCTGATTCTCGACAAAATGCATTTTCCTTGGTGTTATAGCGCATTCCCTAGAAGACCCGTGAACGGTGAAACATTTCATCTTGGACCTGACCTGTGACGTCATCGGTGACCCCGAGGTCAATGAAATTTGGTTTTCCTCGACAAATTTGACAGGCCTTTCGAACGCCGTTTGAATTTTGCGGATCCGTCCAGTAGTTTCGGAGATACGAGGGGGGGGCAAAAAATAGCCCCCCCCCCCACCAGGTCGCGTTATAAACAGACCCCACCAGGGCGCGGGTTAATTCGGAGAAATGGAATTTCAAACTTGCAGTTTTCGGATTCTAAGGGGCTAATGCATTGGAATGCCCCCTTAGAATTTGTGACGTCAGCGGAGATCTAATGATTTTAATTCTTTGACTAAAACGTTTGGTAGCAAGAGGTGGTATACGCTGCTTTCCGCGCAACAAGTGCCGCACTTTCAAATAAAGTCGCTAGGAACAGCGGAGATCCCAAAAAGTAAACAAAAGTAAAAGTCTAATATCTTGAAAACCAGTGAATGTTTTTCGATGAAATTTGGTAGATATTCGTTTTTTTTCCCTTTCTGAACCGAGCGACATCACTTCTATGCCAATTCATTAACTTTTTTGAAGGTGGGAGGGTCCCTTTAACGCTCTTTCGCCAGCATGTCCTCAAATTTGACCTCAGATCAACGGTTTAGCCCCCGTGTTTTCACCGCTCTAGCACGTCTCTGTCAAATCAAAAGTTATAGTAAAAAAAACTGCTGAAGACCTTTCATCACCTGAGATGACCTCAGGGGCACACAAAGGGGGCACAAGTGCAATTTTCCGATTCAGTGTGTCATGTTTACATATGAACCTATAATCGATGTTTGAGAGGGTGTAGAACGACATTCGTCCAAAAGAGGCTCATTTCAATCGTGATCGCTCAGTCGGTGTAGCTACAGCGAGCTTTCAAACTTTTTTTTTTCTGAGGTAAGGTCACTTGACGTTACCTGGTGACCTGACCTTGAATGACCGGGATCTGAAATTTTCTTATTTTGAGATATTTGCGAAAAAAACCTATGGGGGCGTAAAAACGCCCCCTCCCCCCAGCACGGCGGGGATCAAACGGCCCCTGAGACCTCGGGATGGTGCCCCTGAGCAGGGCTGCGGAGTCGGAGTCGGAGTCGGAGTCGGAGTCGGTCGGAGTCGACAGTTGTGACCGGAGTTGGAGTCGGAGTCGGAGTCGATTTTAGAAACCCGAGCCGGAGTCGGAGTCGGAGTCACCGAAAATCTGTCGACTCCGCAGCCCTGCTAGGTCTGCGGAGTCGGAGTCGGGAGTTGGAGTCGGTCGGAGTCGACAATGCTGCCCGGAGTCGGAGTCGGAGTCGGAGCTGGTTTTTGAAAGCCGGAGTCGGAGTCGGAGTCGGAGTCGCCGAAAATCCATCGACTCCGCAGCCCTGCCCCTGAGACCTTGTGATGATGCCCCTGAGACTTCGGGATGGTGCCCCCTCAAACTCGGGGAGAGTGCTCCTTCAGACCTCGGATTTCGGAAAAGTGCCCCTGGAAACTTGGAATGGTGCCCCCAGAGACCTCGGGATGGTGCCCCGAACCCTCGAGATGGTGCCCTCTCCGACCTTGGGATGGTGCCCGCGGAGAACTCGGGATAGTGCCCCCTGAGAATTCGAGATGGTGCCCCTGCGGACCTTGGGATGGAAATAGATGGACAATATTAAACTAAAAGCCCCAGGCGAGGGACAGAAATGGGCCTCCGGGAGACCACGAAAACGGTACCCTATTCCGATAGACCTGGATGGTGCCCCCTTAGGAGACCTCTGGGTTAAAGCTCCCGTCGGTGACCTCCATGATGAATTTTAAAAAATCCGTGATGGTGCCCCCGGG